CACTAATGATATACAACATTGTTTATTGACAAAAAGGGGACATGGATAAACGTTTCGGAATTCTATCAAATTCCATCTTCAGTATTTTAAAGTCCCATTTCTCACATTTCTGATAGAATTCGAAAACGTTTATCCATGTCCCCTTTTTGTCAATAAACAATGTTGTATATCATTAGTGTCGTAAGAGATATTTCATTTTGTCAGACTATACTTCTTACTCCATATTGATATGAAAGATGTATTTAATTTGTTGGATGTTTAAGTACGGAAAACAAGGGTAAAAGTCATCAGATTTGTTCAGTGCAATAAATGTAATTTTTCTAGGGAAGTGGTAATTGTTATTTGTAAAAAATTCGCCAAACTGTGGATTTACCACGTTTTGTAAATATATATATATATATATGTTATGTGCTCAAACTACATTTGTAACAAAATACATATAAGATCTTGTGGAACTTTCCAGAAACAGTATTTAAAGTTTGAAATAATTAACTAACTATAACCAAGAATGAAAGTTAAAAGTTCTTGTAGTTTGATGGAAAACTATTTGAGATTGGTAATGAAGTTCTTGGAGGTCATTCTAGATTTCAGGGAACCTACAGGTTAATAAAAAATAATGGGAACAATAAAACTTTCTGCATGAGTTAGCCTTTCTTGAAAGATAGGGATTTTTGTTGAAGATGTTTTATCTTGGAGTCATTTGTTATTTTTTGTTTAATTTATTAAGGGGATGCACCAAGATGCTATCAGCCACCTTCTCCGTATCCAGAGAACCAGTGATCATGATTTTCAGAAGGTGTGTTATTCAGAAGAAATAATGAAATTAGTATTGAGTATTAATGCATGAAAACAAGAATAACGTAAAGCCTAATGTTCGTACTGTTGAACTGGTTGTCGATAAAAGCTTTGATTCATTATAAGTGCATATAACTTCCAAATGAATAATTATAATAACATACACACGCTAGTTACTTCCATCACCCGTGTTTTTCAGCAAGATTTCTCGAAAACAGCTGAATGAATTTGGACAAAAGTTGGTATAAATTTGGATTATGCTCCAACTTAGAAGTGTTTAGTTTTTGGAGGTTCATGGTCTCTATCTGTTAACATGGGGACCAACTTTCACATTATTTTTGCTCTACAACTCAGTCAAAAATGATCGGTTTTGATTAAATGTAGTGGGCACATGTAGAATATTATTCCTAATTGTCCTGCTAAAAATAGTCCATGTCTGTTCATAAAGATGGACATATGGACACATTTTCGTATTTTTAAGGGCCGATTATGATCAATGCTTCATGGTAGAGGTATGTGCTCTACTGCATGCCCCTTTAGTTTGTACTGCAGTATAGAGACACTCGGAAGGTGTTAGTTGTACATCAACATTGTTTGTTTCAAAATTATGTTAATTTACAGTATGTCACAGATTTTAATGACACACGATACTTTTGGTCAATGACAGCAACCTTAAAGAATGCAGTGCTGAGTAATAATTTATAAACAAATAGAATTACTTTAAAAGTGTTCAATCTGTAGCAAAGTTTATGACTGCTTTAAAGTTTACACTATAAAATACATAGTCCAATATGGTACATTACCTCCACTCACATAAATAGCTATCCTCGTTCAGTGCTGCCCTCTATATGCAAATATTAGTTTTTGCATGCCACAAACCTTGAGCTCCTTGTTAGCCCAAGATCAACGTGGTTCAACTGAGTCTCACATGAAAATCATCATGCGACAACCCTCCACCAGTTGGAGTGTAACACATCCTCTTGATGCACGTGACTCTCTCTATTCGATTCTACCAAACTATCACTTCTCATTTGACAATGCTATCATCAAGATGTTCTTTGTTGTGCTCTCTTCTCTTGTTTTTTTAATTTTCGTACGAATTGGAGATATTTTCTAATTTTTTCTACTTCTTTCTACCAGTTTTATTGTTCTTAATTTTTTTGTTTTTCACCTAAGCTTATATTTCCACTTCCAAAATGTTATCATTTACTTCCAGCACAATTACCTAGGCTTCAGGTGGAGGTACTGAACTGAGGAATTGTCAGCTTGAATTCAATAGGAGATTGATCGTTATATGAGTTGACCTTTGTCGGGCCTCAAGTTTGGTGACCCACGCATTTGGGTTTGCCGACTTTGGACAGAAAAGCTGTTATGCTGTTTTAGCTTTTTGAATATTTTGATATTAATATTATTATTTGTAGTTATTTGATTTCAATAACATATGTTTAGTTAGATTTGTACCTACTTCTTGTAAAGTAAAGGTATTTTAATTGATGTGTAGTGATATCCTTTTGTACTACAACGTTACTTTAGGCTTAACATGTGTCTTTGTAATCTTAGGCTTACCATTCATTCATCTTATTGTTTCATCTACTAAGTTTTATTTTCAATATGCACTTACTTAATTTTACAATATAACAACTTTTTCATTTTCGTAATTAATTATATTTTATACTTCTTACAATTAATTTCGTTTTGAGGACCCCTGGACCTGGGGTCTGCCCAATCTTCTCTCACTATTTCTTACCTTCCTCCTCGAACTTCCGAACTCAATCGGGATAACATATGTTTTAACAATTTTTTCTCTACCTGATTCTGTATTGGCCTTCCCAGGTCTCTACTACAAAGTCTGCTAGGCCTTCTTCAGCTATTTTTATAGACATTTCACAGTTATTTTTCCCCCTTTTCCAGATATTTTAGTTCATGCTGGGCCTTTATGTCTCTCTTTTGAGAGATAGTGCTGGCATGCCTAGCCCTCCATTGGCTTTGGTTCATTTTGACTTAGCTTACCATTGGGCATATTGTTTTTTGTTTTCTTGCTTTTCTGTACTTCAAATCTCTTTTGCCTGCATGGGGGCAGAATCTATTAAACCTATCCCTGTCTTCCTAGCCAAATTTTCCAGCCTTTGTCTTCCCCTATCGCCTCTCTTACTGGTATCAGGCCCCAATCACCTCCTTTCTGAAGTGTTCCATCTATTTCTTAGGGATTTTTGTGGGGCGATTGCCATCTTCAGCTCTTTCCTTACAAGCGTGGTTTCTTTGCTTTTGGGATCTTTTGGAGTGGGACACTATCTTGTACCAAGTTTATTTCCCTTTCACGTCTAATTGGGACTTATGGATGGCTCTTTTTTCTCCACTGGTCCGGTTTTTTGAGGGATGTTCCTCCTGTGACTTTAGCACCACATGGGGTATCTGTATTGGTACATTCCAATTTTAATTTTTGGTTGCTTGTTTGTCTCTTTGGCAATTGCATTCTTTATTCATGTTCCAATGTCCAGCACCTTCCCATCATTTACATGTCCTACATCTAAGAGTTCCTCCATTAGTCATGTATTCTTGATACAAATTACAGTTCTGTTGATTGATCTGTCCCATCTCAATCACTTGTTGGTTCTTTCCCTTTCTCCTATATTGTATTTTGCTACACTGTGGTGGGCCTTTTCTCCAGGACTGAGGATGCCCATGGTTGAAGTTTTGTATTCTTATGCCCACGTTCCCATTTTTCATCCCTTGTGGTGCTATCTTAGGTTTGTTCACCACGAAGTTGGGCATTAGTTTTGTGCCTTGCCCTTTGAGCTTGTTTTAAATCTGTATGTCTTTGTCTCAGGTTCCTCATCCACCTGCCTTGGCTGTTGATGCATTCAGACAGGATTGGGATCTGTTTATACCTTTCTTTTCTCATCCCATTTGTAATTTTCTCTGGTTGATTTTGTTCATCCTTGCCACTCTGTTTAAGGTCTTTCTGATTGCACTTCACTGGCTGACACAGATCTGTTTTTTCTGAGCTGCTTCAACTTGAGCTGTCCTTTTCTTTCTGGATTGGTGACTCATGGGACAGGTTCTTCCTTTTTATCATTTTTCGTTTCCTTCCATCTCCCACTTTTAATTCCAGTCAAATTTGGTTTGTTATATAGGTCCCATACCTGCTCTGGGTTGCTTCATTGCCTTCAAGTCTTCCTTCTGTTAGTTCTTTTTCCTGCTGTTTCATTCCCTGGCACCACTCCTCTGTTTGTGACTTTTTTGTTCCTCCCTTACCTACCCAGTGGCACAGCAGTATGTCTGTGGACTTACAATGCTAGAAACTGGGTTTTGATACCCGTGGTTGGCAGAGCACACTGTGTATCTTTGTGCATGACTACAAACAAACAATCCTACTATACCCTTTCGATTCGATTGGTCTTTTCTTCCTTGTCTACTTTTTCCCGTAATCATTTCCTGGTGTCTTCGCTCTGATTAGGCACCTTCCCACTTACTTGTATCTCACCTTCATCATATATTGGAGGTACTACTTTCATCGAGCACTGGGACTACACCTCGTACGTTTATCTCCCATTATCTGCTTCGGGTAGCTGTTTCTTCCTCATCAGGGTACTGTCTTCCATCTGTCACCATTCTTCACTTTTCGGTGAGACTGTGACTGGGTAAGATACCTTTTTTGTCTTTATTTTTCAGGGGCATGTCCATTTTTTTTCTTTATGGATTGTGCTCTGTGGTGAGTGGTGTCTGTCCAGGTATACTTACAGCAGTCAAATCTGCACTGTAAGGCCATAATGACTTAACAATTATAATTTTCATGGCCACTAAATGCACACTGTTGAGTTGGGGTGTTCCACAAGATTGCTCATAGATTTTCCTCACAATATATTTGCTTCATTAATATACCCATTCCGGAACGTACTCACCCATGGACTTCATGGGTAAAGCAGAAGGGGATAGCTGCCCATCCCTGCCATGCCTTTGATTGAATAAATCAGGTATGGCCTGCTTTTCAAAATAGGGTTTTCATGGTCACCCATTGCACTGTCTCTGGTGTTGAAGTTTCTCCGGACACTCTCCACTGGATTTTCTCTCCCCCCTTTTTCTTCCAGTGGAGTATAGGAATCCTTACCACTTTCCAGTTCCAAAGCCACTTGGGTGGTGGATCATGGAGGCATTCTCCTGAATGTGATAATGATATATGTGACAAATAATGATAAAACCATTCATTTGAAAGTAGGGTGGCGGTGGTGTCCTCCAATCTGATGCTCTATCTCTGTACATGTTTATCCGGAGGGATGTTGTAGCTTTGGAGTGAGCAGTCAAAATTGCAGTTCACCCCTTTGATTAGGATCCCTCATCCTACCCCCACATGGATTTTGGTTCCAAGTGGCTGTGTTTTGGATTCAGAGCTGAACCAATCAACATAAGTCCTCACACAGGTATTATAGGTGTCTCTGTTTCCTCACTCTATTACACTCTTGTTCCCTCCAACTGTGTTGTGGGTCATGGTGGTGGAATTTGCAGATTAATATGGTTCTTCCTCTTACGCAATCCCTCGATTTTCTTATACCAAGAATGTTATTGTGCCGAGGGTGGTTCTTGTCGGAATTGTTTTGAGTGAGATAGTTTACATTACAGAGACATCTTTGATATACAGATTGTCTGGATGTAAGGTTCCCAGATTGGTCAAACAATTTATCATATTGCTATCATGTGTCCTGCTCATAGATCATGGGGGTATGAGATTCCTTCAGGTCTGCTGAACTTGAAGTGAAGAGAGTATGATCATCTTTCCAACCCTACCAGACGGTTGGGTTTCAGGATTGTAGTTGACTTGCTGCCAGTATGATCCTCTTTCCAATCCCACAGAGATGTCAGTTACAGGTGGCTGGATTTTGGATTGTAGTTGACTTTCCGGCAGTATCATCCTCTTTCCTACCCCCAAATGGATGTCACTTCCTGGTGGCTGGGTTTTGGATGCAGTTGACTTGCCATGTATGGCTCGTCATGCCCTAACCACTCTACACCTAGATGCACATTCTTTCACTCTCACCCACATTGATGTACTCTATGGGATTGAGATTCCAATATTGTGTGGTTCGGTCCCTATTCAGCCGTTGTTCTCTCCATTTTGGATGTGCTTCTCCCAATTTCTACCCATGTCTGCGACACCTCTTCCACACTGGGCAAAGAGTATACCTGGCACAGAAGTGGTGCGGTCTCCCATGTATGATCCCCTACTGTGAAGATCCCTTCTTTTAGGGTGTTCCTCTTCAAATGGGGATCATGCTTCAGGGGTGTCATTTGGACACTTTCAAAGGATGCTTCTTTCTTTCCCTCGCACCTATCCTTCCCCTATTCGGTGTGGGATTCTAACTATTTATGTGAGGAAAGGTAATGTACCATATTGGAAGTTATAATTTTCCTATACTGAAAATGTATTTCCAATAGGTACTTACCTCCTCTCTCACTTCCCACCATTCCTCTCCACTGAAAACCAGTGCTTCCATTTTCTGCCAAAACTTGAAGTGTAGTTTGGTAGAATCGAATAGAGGGAATCACATGCATCAAGAGGACTCTTATTGGTGGAGGTTTGTCAAATGATGATTTTCATTCCAGACTCAATTGAACCATGTCAATCTTTGGGTATGTGGGAGCACAAGGCTTTTGGCACGTGAAAAACATTTTGCATATAGAGCGCAGCACTGAATAACAATAGTTACTTATGTGAGAGGAGGTAAGTACCTATCAAAAATACATTTTCAGCATAGGAAAATTATAACTTTCTGAAGAATAAAAAAATGATAAACTTGTAAATTGTAATATAAAAATTGTATTAGATGTCTAACTTCTAGTAGGTCTTTAGTAATTTTGAAATTTTCTTCAAAAACTACATTTTATATCAAGTATCTGGAAATTAAAGTTGGTTTCACAGTCCCTTATATTGTGCTGTGTCTAGTTAGTGTAAAACTAAGGTTGGGCTAGGTATTAAATTTTACATAATAAGCTGAAATGTTTTCATTGTAATGTGTAACATATAGCAGCAAAGGCTTAATTTTTCAAGATGTGCTTGTATTATTATTTTCTACGTAAGTGTTATTAATATTTTTCTGTTTTATTATGAATTTTTTACATAGAGCAAAGCCAATCTCCAACTAGCCAGCTGTTACTATATACTTGGAAAATTTTCAGTAAGTTTGTTGATACTTTTATGTTCCTTATTCTCTGTTATTTTCACCTTATTTGCACAGCATTGGTTCACTTCTCGCAAATCCAAGTGTTTTAGATTTTTGATTTATTTTTGATACAGTATGCTTACATTTCATAGAAACATAAGTTTTAGATTTGAAAGGTTTAAATTCACATTCATTTGACACATTTGTATTCTGTTTTTTCTTTATTGAAATTATAAGTTGGTTCTTCTAAGATGTGAATTTGAGGATATGATTTGTTATCATGTTTTGTAGATGTGTAAAAAGTCAAAACTAATCAGATTCTCATGAGAACGAAGCATGTCTATTTTATATGAAACAGTTTTAGTGTAATGTCCATGAATACAGTGGAGTTACAACATATGTGATGCAAGGGGATGATAATATGCTGTACTATATATATATAATAGTGTATTCACGACACATTATATCTTGTGTGTAGATGGCTTGTGAAAGGTTACTAGATGTGGTGAGTTCTTTGCCAATAGCCAGTGGACACTCAGTAACCCATACGACAGAAAGCAACTCTCTCTCTAAACACCAATCAGGAAAATCAGGTGAATTATGTTGTATTTTTTAAAGTAACCTATAAAACAGAAAGTAATTGTTTGTAAACATGAGTCAGGAAAATCAGGTGAATTATGTTGTATTTTTTCAGTGAAACACTATAAAGGCAGGTTACAGTTTAAATTTGTACGTCTTACAAGTTTATGTCAGTTTTTCTCATTAAGATATGTAGTTATTATATATTATTCACTCTTTCCATCCAGTCATATTTTCTCTATGTTAATGACAAAGTTCAAAGTATGCATTGGAATGTCACATCTGCTTTCATACACATTTATGTCCCAAGTGTCAGTTGTTATAAACTAAATGTCTATACTAGTTTATAGAATATTCTCGTATTATAATGTCTACCCTCAAAATCAAATGCAGTACCAGAGAGGTGCAGTTTAGATGCACTCAACAAATCATCATGTTTGTGCCATTACTCAAAAAAATATGCAATGAAACAGGAAAAGCAGTATTAGATTCCAGAATTACAATAGCAACTGACTTTAGAAACACTTTAATTTGGTAATGTTTAGTTTTATTCATTAATCACTTAAATGTGTTATTTTGATAATGTTGCTTTTGGGAGTTGTCAATGATCTCATTGAAAGTGATTTAATTTTTGCTATTTTTAGGAAGACATTTGAGTTACCTGAGTTTTGAGAGAGGTGAACTTCTGCAGTATTGTGTGAAGTTATTAATTACATGTTTCAGGGTGAGTTTTTGACCTTATTTAAGAGAGGAACCTCTACAGTATTGTGTGAAGTTATTAATTATATGTTTCAAGGAGAGTTTTTTTTTTACCTTATTTAAGAGAGAAACTTCTACAGTATTGTGTGAAGTTATTAATTATATGTTTCAAGGAGAGTTTTTTTTACCTTATTTAAGAGAGAAACTTCTACAGTATTGTGTGAAGTTATTAATTATATGTTTCAAGGAGAGTTTTTTTTTACCTTATTTAAGAGAGAAACTTCTACAGTATTGTGTGAAGTTATTAATTGCATGTTTCAGGGTGAGTTTTTGACCTTATTTAAGAGAGAAACTTCTGCAGTATTGTGTGAAGTTATTAATTATATGTTTCAAGGAGAGTTTTTTTTACCTTATTTAAGAGAGAAACTTTGAAACATATAATTAATAACTTCACACAATACTGTAGCAATAATGCAGAAGTTCTCTTCTGTCAAAACTAAGGGGAAACATTTAACCTGAAACATGATTATTAACTTCATAATAATGCAGAAGTTCTCTTCTGTCAAAACTAAGGGAAAACATTTAACCTGAAACATGATTATTAACTTCACAATACTACAGAAGTTCTCTTCTGTCAAAACTAAGGGAAAACATTTAACCTGAAACATGATTATTAACTTCATAATAATGCAGAAGTTCTCTTCTGTCAAAACTAAGGGAAAACATTTAGCCTGAAACATGATTATTAACTTCACAATAATGCAGAAGCTCTCTTCTGTCAAAACTAAGGAAAAACATTTAACCTGAAACATGAAACTTCATAAGGTCCCCTCTCAAACTAATGTAAAACACTCCCCCCTGAACCATGTGATTAATAACTTCAATCAGTACTCTCAAAACTAAGACAAAACAGTCATACCAAAATGGGATTATTAACTTCACATAATACTGTACAAGTTGCTCTTTATATAAGGTAAAAAACTCACCCTCAAAACTAAGGGAAAACATTTAACCTGAAACATGATTATTAACTTCAGCAGAAGAGAGCTTCTGTAGTATTGAGAAAAGTTATTAATCACATTTTTTCAGGGTGAATGTTTTCACATTATTATTCAATATACACTGCCTCGGGTCAGGTAAAAAAGTGTCACTACAAGGATATAGTTTTGACTACTGTCAGGTCTCAACCCAGATACTGTGACTTTAAGCCAGTGTATACATATATAACTGTAGTGAGGAATTTTGCTTGGTGTTTTTTTTTTTTTTTTTATCCCTCAAACTTTTTTTTTATATATTTTTTTATAATTATACATATGTTAAACCAAACATTGAGTAATTTGAATATACATAATTGGTCATTTTTATTTGAAATAACTTGGTACTGGGAGTTAACCAATCATCTGATGGAACTCTATTTAGAATAGTTGGTACTAGATAATACAAGTACTTGGAGCTCAAAATGGAATTACTTTGTGGATATATGTAAAGTTGTTTTTTCTTAAAGGATTATAAACTGTCCACGTTAAGAGTAAACAAGTTTAAATCATTATAAAACATTGTAATATCCTTTGCAATACAAATGAATTGGTAAATATAGGCTTGATAAATTGTTAAAACTCCAAAATCTTTAAACTAGCTTGTCACAGATACTCTATGTGGAATACTGACTCTTTTGTAATAACCAGATTGGTCTTAGTGCATAGAAATTTGTACCCCATACACTTATACAATAAGTCATCTCAGAATTTTCTTTCTCCAATTCATCAATGTTGCAAACGTTGTTTTTTGCCATATCAGAAAATAAAATACGACTGTTTGCTTTACATTTTCAACATTTCCACCGTTTATTCAATTCACAAAAAGTATTAAAATCATCGTACGATATATTAACTCACTTAATATGATATTTTAACTGACATACGGTACAGGAAGTAATGGTATTTTTAGACTTGTAAGGCTTACCACCTGCAACTTTCAATAAGCAGATTTCACGCACGTCACTACCCTGTAGCCATCTACACTTGACTTTAAGAAATCACAAACCAGTTTTTACATATATAACTGAGGTGAGGAATTTTATTTTTTGTTTATGCCTCTAACTTTAAATTTTTTTGTAAAAGAGAGTTTGAACACATCCAGCTAGATGTTTCGCTTTCCTACATTGCATTTTAGAAAGTATTATGCCTCCTATTTTTATAAAGTTTAATTGTTTGTATTCTTTATTTTTTTTGTATATTTTAAGTAAATCATATAACAAGGAAAAATTCTCACGTAATCTTTCTTTAACATATTTTTACTAAAATTAAGCTGAGGGTTGCGGGTTCGAATCCCCGTCCCACCAAACATGCTCGCCCTTTCAGCCGTGGGGGCGTTATAATGTGACGG